TATAAAGTTCCTATAAATATGTTTTAAATATTTAGTAAGTATTATTTTTAATCGATTCAAAATTAAAATAATATTAAAATAAGAAAACGTATTTTTACGCATATGTCTTGCCAAATCTCGCCTAGCCCTAGGCTTGGCCTCCATGCAACGCCATATATTACGCCTTTTAGAACACTGTGAATTGGCAAAAGTCCATCTTTGTTTTCACAATTCAGCAATTTGGGATCTTTTTTCACAAGTATTTTGGCATCTTCAACAAGTCCAACTTTTGCTGCTAAGTGAAGCGCTGTATTCCCAAAGTCGTCAGTCTCAGCCAGTAAATCTGGTGCAATCTTATCCACCAGCCTGTTGACTAACCCCTTGTTAGCTTCATTGACGGCCGAGAGGAGCATTGTATCTCCATTTTCATTTAGCCTGGCTTTGAATACTTCATTTGGATGTTCGCGGATCATTGATTCGATATTCTCCCACTTGCCTATTATTAATGCTTGGTACAGGTCTTTTTCCAGATTACCATCCTCCACCGCTTTCATATCAATAATTGAAGGTAAATGTGTGCTTATACATAATCTTTTTATTCTCAAAAGTCAATCAAAAAAAATATTACAATCAAAAAACAATAGTACTTTACTTGGGGACGTAATAAATGAAACAAAAATTTAAAAAAGAAGTTTGTTACTTCACCATTACTCCTTCTGAACGCGCTTTTACTTGCTCCCACCGTTATCATCTTCATAATCCTTTTATACATAGACTACACTTGCATTTGACTCTAAAAAATGTTTCCAAATTTGTTGGTAGAAACTAGAAGTTTCCACAATTAGGAATGGGCTACTTTTCTTTTTCCTTTATTCTTTATTCTTTATCCTTTGAATGATGATTATAATTAAAAAAAAAAAAAAAAATTTAGTCAAACCTACAATTTTTTATCAACCAAGAATGACGCTAGCACATATTTTACTTAATTCAACACTACTTTCACCTTTGTTAGCTGAATTAACATGAAATTTATGTGAATCGTAATATAGTCACATGAAAAGAATGTACTAGTTAAAGTGCAATGTTGTTTGTGACACAAACACAATCATGTTTTAAGTGCGTGTTTGTCCAAGCATTAAAAAAGAATAATATTACTCTTAACGGTGTTATATACATATTTATGTTGTAATGGAGATCGCTCTCATATTTTACAATCAACAAAAATATATTTCAACTTTAATGGACATTATGATAATAATCTCACTACCACATAGACTAGTGTATAATATCGTTGGACATATACCACATTATTGTTTATAAAATTATCGATCTTTTTATTGAAAAGTAAATAAGTTTAAAACAAATAATACTTTTTCAAATAAAAAAAATGAGTTAATCTAAAAGTTATCCATACTTTATTGACCTAATTATTATTTTTTTTAATTCAAGAATGTGAACACGTTTGGAGACAAAAGATATCATATTAGAAACCGAAGTTTAGATTGCATTCTTTTCTGAAAATTTGTACATCGAATTGATGGGAAGGTGCTAGAATCGGAATGACTTAGGGAGCAAGAAAAGGAATAACG